ACGAACTAGTAAAAGAAACTAGCGATAGTGCAAACCCTAACTTTCGTCCCAAAAGCCCAACAGGGACCGGCGATTTATAAACCATTTGAGGCGCGCCCCTTCTCTCAGACACTCGTCTCGACCATGGAAGGGCCACAAAGCCGAAGATGAAGCAGTATCTGTTTTTGTGTAGAGCTAAAAGGTGAAAATATTAAGGTCCTCTGGGTTTCCTGGTAGAATTCAGATTAGGCTGTGTTGAAATAAAGATGTGAACTAGAATGTAGAATAATTTCAGGTGGAAATGATGATGTTCACTGTGGGAAATATACCAAATTTGGATGAAAAGCGAGTCAAGCAAGGCGACGAGTTTTTGCAACACGTTTTGGTGAAGACATTGCTAAAGGTGAGTAGCAGAGCTTAGATTTCAGAGAATCTTGAAGGCGCAGTGGACGCTGGTCGAATGGGCGGTGACGCCTAACCATGAGTGCCTTCCTTATCGCAGCTGCGCTCTCTTTGACCGCTCCTGAGGGAGAGATGCACCGACGAGGGAAGCGTGTTTGCGGGTCACCGCCCTTACGATCAACGTGGACTGTAGTTTAGTTCGAAGTTTGAAAATTACTTTTGATTATGTTTCTGTAGAAATGTCATTTGAAACTGTGGCTAAAAACCATGTTGGCAAAGTAACATAGGAAAAGTAGTACCTAACCAAGACCCGAATTCACTGTGAGTCTTGAGAAATGCCTTAAAACCCTAAAAGGCTCTGAATGAGGAGTGAAATTCTGTGAACCGGTATGTGCCTCCTACAACCATGTTGTGTAACCCATAACCCAGTAGTATTATGGCACCCCCTCAATCCAGTGCAGGATTTCCGGCGGAGACGGTTACCCATCGTTTCGTCACGGGCTTACCCTTGCTGGATCAAATTCGTCTGTTTGTTATCGTTTTTGCAACTCTATGTTTATTGCAAATTCACTGAACGGGGTCAGTCTTGACGCTGAAGATTCTTCCTCTTCAGTACGATCCCCTCCTTTGTCTTTAGAATGGTGCAGAAAATTGGAAATAAAATGAGAACAAGCAAAAAATTTCATCAGTCCAGTTGTGACCATTTTCTCCACGGCTATCGAGCACCCTTTCCCCCCCCCCACCCCACTTTGTCGAGGACTTCTCGACCAGTGCTTGACCCTGGACCTTTTCACAACGTACCGCTGCTCTTTTGGCCCAATAACAAAATCATAAGATGGGCTGAATTGAATATCTCATAATATGGAGGTTGACTTTGGGCCTTGTCTCTATTTCAAGGGACCCAATTGCTGTTTTGGGAGGGGGGGGGGGGACGGAGATGTTTTGGGTAGTGGATTAGTTTTCCAATTAGTATCAGTGCAGAAGCGCGCTAAATTGAAAACGTCAGCACAGGGATCATGTCAAGAAAAAGAGTTGATATCTAAAGAGCATGCATAGAAAATAAATGCTCTAGTTGGAAGCGTACAGATCTGCTTAGGTTTAAAATTGGAAGAAGTAGGAGGGTATGAGGGATACTGTGAAACACAGAAAACAGGCCACCCTCTTGGTCCGAACTGCTAGTATCTGGGCCGCTGTAGAAACTGTATGGGATAAATGTCACGTTGAGGGATGACGTGTCATTACGTCCAGGCTTAATACGATTTCCTTGAGACATCATTGAGTAGTACAGGTTTTCTGGTCATTAACATGTACAATGTTACCTTATTTCTAAAGTCTTACTGGATACCGAACCCGTGGTACATATGCGCCCAGCTTATTTCCTCGCTAAGAACCAGCTGGAATTCCTAGCGTATGTGAAAGTTCCACGCCAACAGCGTGGGCAGAGGCAGTTAATGATTGGGCTTCCTTCACTGGCGCTCCCTTCCTCATTAGAAAAGGCGGTGACTTCGTGACTATTCGATTTAATTTGTTTTGACTAAGGAAGTGGGAAAAGTATTAATTATTAACTTTTAATTATTATAAGTATTACTCTAGGTGGCTACGAAATACCGTACTGCCTACCTGGCTACGGTATTCACAGATTCGTTCCTGCACACTCTTATCCAACTAGCTTTGGTGAACGATCCACAGGTGCGACTAGGAACGCAGCAGATTTTCCATACGCTTCTTGATAGGTGAGAGTGTTTTATTTCGCTTTTCCAAAGGCAGCTCGGCGGACGGGGTGGGGGAGCATTTCACGCTTTCGCTGCACGAGTAAATCCGGTTTATAAGTATCACCGTGCAAGTAACAAACATTGCAAAATGCCCCCCCCTCCCTCCGTTGACGAACTGCGCGCCTTCTTCCTCTTCCTGTGACGGGATTTTTGGCCATGTTTTTGGCCATGTCCAGTCGACTGATTTTATTGATTTTAGGCACGACAACTTGTCTCATCTATCGCATTTGGCGTATGTTTTGGATGTGTCCGATGTGCAGTTGACAGTGGAGAAATGTTCACGAGCCGATCAGATGTTCATGCGAAAACATATCCACGACATGACGTTGATGCTGTACAGGTTCGTCCCTTGTTTGCCCATAAAGACGCATTTCACGCTTGTTACATGGGCGGAGCCGGGCCTGTTTCTGTGCCTTGTTCCTTAAAGCGCTCTGCCTCCCTAGCGTTACAGAAAGAAAAGCTACAATGGAAAAGGCGTAATAGTAGAACTGGCCCCACCCACACGATAAACGTGGAACTCGCATATTGCAAGCTCTGCCCTCACGACGGACGTACTTCTAGCGCATGTGTTGAATAAAAAGATCCTTATATGGTAGATGAGGGTGTTTACACAATCATCACTGTTGACCCGAGGGCCCTGTAGGCTTCCCGTTCTGCTAGTTGTTGATCCTTCCTTTCACTTTCCTAGTCACACCCTCAGGGTATTTTGTAAACAGACAGTTAAACCTACAGACAGATGGACATACAGACCGACAGACAGAAGGGTAAAGACAGGTGGACTTGACCTTGCTAACATAGTTTAGTGATTTGTTTGGTAGAAATGGTAAAGTTATCGTTTTCAGAGCTGTTATTTTGGTGGCTGACGACGCGAACCTTCAGCAACATATGGATGCCATTCAGTGCACCATGAGCTTGTTGTGCATAGAAGTTGGATTTGACGAGGTTTGTCGATAGATCAAGTAAAATTCGGGGACGTGCTTCAAGGACAGGGCGCGTAGTACATTGGAGAATTCCCAG